GCGGCTGCGGCGCGCTGCTGGGGCAGGAGCACAGCACGGCCCATGTGCTTGTCGTTACAGCCCATCCGCAGGATTTTCAAATAAATAATTAGCTGCTTGTGTAAACACCGGCTTGTTCTGCACTTCCAAGTGTGTGTTTGCTGCAAGCGGCTTTATAAACACTGGCAAGTGCTTGAGCTGGGCTCTTGGGAGCGTTGAGCAGAGTGGAGAGGGGGATCCCACCCCAGTCCCGCAGCCTTTCTCCGCTCCATGCTCATGTGCATGGCACATCCCCCCTGCGCTGGGATGAAGCAGCACGGGCAGCCAGGAGAGGAGGGATCCTGCGGATGGATGGCATGGCACAAGTCATGTACGTGGCATGTACAGCACGGCGCAGCCAGAGGGGACCCCATGGGTGCTAGCTGGTGTGCGCAGAGCAGCGTCAGCACAGCATGGCCCACGCTGTCCCTAAATGAGTGCTGAGCGCCAGCAGCTCTGGAGGGAGCGCGGTGCTGCCCCTTGCTTTTAATTACAGCAGCTTTGCAGGTGAAGCGCGATCACGGGAAGTACAGGCTGAACCTGCTCCGAGTGTTGACACAACACTCACAGTTTAGGCAAAGACCCCTCGGTGTGGGGACAGCAGCAGGGATATTCTGATGGAGCAAACACAGCCCCAGCGTGCCAAGAGCCAGCGTGAAGCTTGTGCTGCCTCCACATACCCCATCTCTCAGGGCTTGTTCAGTGCAAGGGCAAGGAAGTGCATGGGAAACCTTGAGGCTCAACACAAACCAGGCGATCACACACTTTTTCCTCCTTGTTTCCTTGCTTTCTAGCCCAAAGACAGGGGGAGCATCCAGCCACAGCTGCCTGCTCAGCACAGAAGAGCTACTGGCATCCCGGATGCTGGCCATCAGCATGATGCCCATGGTTCAAAACTTCCCTGCAAGCGCTCGGGATCTGCAGCATGCCCACCAGCAGAGGCTGCGGCACAAGGGCCGGGCTTCCAGCTCTTCCCACCCTCACCTCAGGACACAGATTATGGTTCTTTCAGCTATTGCAGCCATCAGTCAAGCTCAGGTTGCTGCAAACAATTTCCAGTCTAAACATTAGCAGGATTTATGCCATTATCCCATCGACAGGAAGAATTTGGGATAACCTGAATTGCTCTGAATTCATTTATGGAGAGACCTGGCCCCTGCATCCGAGGTGACAGTAAGCCTTGTTTGCAATTCAATCAGGATAAATTGGTCCTTGGGAGCTCCAATACAAACCAGAAAATGTAAACCATCCAGATAATTTACCATTAGTCCCCCTACACACAAGGTGAGAAAGACCAACATTATATCCCCAGGATATTCAAGACCTAATCCTCAATAACTAAATTGCTGATATATTGCCTCTTGCTGGATGTATCAGGCTAGCCATAATGTAAACGGGCTCTCCAAAGGTTTACTGAGTCTGGGAGAGAAGGACCAGATGCTTGTGTGAGGGCTGGAGGAAGGACAAAGCCTGATTACAGCAGCAGCAGTAACGAACCCCCAGGAACTGCCAGGTCTGCCGCCAGCTGGACATCAGCTCTGAGCACAGGGGGATTTGGGCTTACAGGGCCTGGGGCTGGACAGAGAACTTGAGTTTCACCTGGGTAGTCTATTTAGGGGTATCTTGTGTATCTCGGATATGCAAGAACAGGTTTCAGAAGTGTCTTTGCCTGCAGGAGGAGATGTGGTTTCACCTGGGTTGGTTTGGTCCCAGCAGTGTCTCAGCCCCAGGAAAGGCTCCAGGGAGGTTGGTTGTGGCAGCAACCAGCAGATTCCCCAACCTGCCTTTGTGTAAACTTCTATCAAGCCCCTCAAATGATGATAACAGCACTTGGATCTATATCAGAGGTTCAGGGAGGGGAGAAGGAGAAGGAGGAAGAGGAGGAGGAGGAAATGAGAGCAGGCT